AAATAACAATATATAAATATCTCTAAAACTCTAAAACAAACACTTATAAGACTTTAATTTAGAGATTAACTATAGCCAACAGTAAATTAATTGACAATAATATGTAGTTTACTTCATGCTTCATTACTTGTGAAGAGTTTTAATATAAGATAAATTTTTTTAAAAAATTAAGATACAATTTATACAAAAGGGAGTTTTAATTTAATAGAATATACATATTGTTGGATGATTTCTCACCGTTGAGCTTTGATGACATTCTTTTCATATTTTTGGACAATCATCAATTCTATCCACATGTCTTTAAATTTCCTCTTGTTGTATACTTAATTGAATCACTCACCGCAAAAACCCACTTTTTCTTAGTCCTCTTTGCCATGATTCCACCACCTTGCTAATCAAAGAGAAGTTGCAACCTAATTGGACTCTAGCTAGCAATAAAGCAAGCCCTAATTTTAGGTCAAAAGCATTAAGACAAAAATTATAGAAAGGTGCTGTTCGATTGTCCCCTTGTAAGCACGCGCAAAAGTAGCAATCCCCAGCTTTCATTGCCAAATGAAAAACGACACTTCCTTTTACAATGCAATTCTAATTAGGAGTTAACTAACACAGACCAAAATACATGCCCATCTAACTTCGGTTTCTATCTTGCATTTGTCATATTATGTAAGTGGGTTCATTACGTATTAAAGATAATATAATTTTTTCAAATAAAATATAAAAATACAAAAAATTATATAAAAATCTACTTAAAAATGTGTGTTATGTGCACTTACAACTTTAACTATCTTAATTTAAGTGCATTGAACTCTTGACATTTGTTAGAATTTTATCCACTGTAATAATATTTAAATTATTCTCATTTTCTCACATCCCCATGTTCAAAAAAAAAAAAAAGTCTTATGTGACATTATTTATTATAACAATTTGTATTAAAATTATATTAAAATAATATTTTTAACATTACTTCATTACAATTTGAAGAAAAAGGTGGCTATTGATGGGTTATTTTCTTTTTTAATGATCAAACATAAAAAAGCATAAGAAACAGATTTAATTCCGCAACCTCAACATTGTAAAGTCTCAATCATTCCATGGGGTCTTCTTGATTGTATTTACCCTTTCAACCAAAGAAAAAAGGTTGGACTTTTTGAGAAGAAAGAAATACTTGTTTCAAAATCACTTGGGCTTCTAAGTTATTTTACATTGATAGACAAGGAACCCAAATAATTTATAACAAAGGATCAATAGAACGATGAGGAAATGATATCTAGCTCCTTAATTTCTAGCAGTTTACTTAGCAACGAGTTTTACTTACAAGAAACAATATAATTATAATATAATAGTATGTAAAATTATAAATTTATAATTATAATATAATAGTATGTAAAATTATAAATTTATAATTATAATATATTATTATATAATTATTTTTAATTAATAATTTATTTATAATATTATATAAATATATTAATTTTAATTTTTTATTTAATAATTTATCTATAATATTATATATATTTATTAATTTAACAATATATTAGTATCATAAAACTTACAATTGCTAAGTGAAGGTAAATAATTAAAGTGAAAATATACACCTACCCTAGGAAGAGACACATTGTGCTAGCTATAGCCTCCTATTATGTAGGTAGGAAAATTTATGATGAAGGGCCAAAGGTAGGGACGTTGTAGTAAATTTATGAAAGTTTGATGGCCTTTTATAGATCAAGTTGAATAAAAAAATCATGTGTACTACTTACTAGGGGAAAGAGATGGGAGTTGGGGAATTGAGAAATGGCCTAGTTGTTGTACCAAGTGGAGGAGAAGTTTTGGGATTTGTTTGGATTTGATTCAGCACAAAGGAAGTGGCTTTCCATAAAAATAAAAGTAGTGAAAAAGTGGGAAGTGAAGGGAGTAGGATATTGGGAAGGTATTGGATTTTGCTTTTGTTTTTTTGTTTCGTACTATTAGGGAAAGATGCTTCTTCATAGATCAAGTGTAATGATGATGGGGCATGGATAATTATGGAGAGGGCATGCACAAAGAGGAATCATATATGCACCCAATGTGAGTTTAAATTTGTTGAATGCACTGGCTCAATGTGTAGTGTATCATTAAGATTGTGTGAAGATGATTTAGTACGTGCAAATTTGAAGACATATCAATTTGAGATGAGCAGAGGAGTAGTTATTGTAATAAATCAAATTATTTATTGGTTAAATGATTTAATTTAATTGTATTAGAAAATACTATAAATAGATATTTGGTTTGAAAAGAAAGAAAAGAAAATTTTAAAATTACAACCATACTAAATGGTTTGTTTTGATAAACCCTCATAAAAAAAATTAATATAACATAAGTTTAAAACATGAATGAAATTGTTTATTTTTTTTTTATAAAAAAAAAAAAACATAATTTTAGAATAATTTTATTAGATTAGGTTGATAATATTAATATCTCTACTCTCTAGCATTAAACCATTTACTACTTTAAGTTTTTATATAGAGAAACACTTACTGTAATAGTTATATTTTCTATTTTATAAGTTTATTTTGGTGTTTAAATTCAGGGACAATAAAACGGCAGCGTTTGAATGAACTACAATTCACTTAGGGAGAACCCGAACCCGAACCCGAACCCGAACCCGAACCCGAACCCGAACCCGAACCCGAACCCGAACCCGAACCCGAACCCGAACCCGACATGGTACAGAACAGAGGGATGTAAGGCGTAAGGAGAAGGGCGAGCGAGGAATAGATTTGACGCCGCCGGTCGAGAGCTCCCCTCCCGTGGAAGCTAGAAACCCAGCTCCGACCATCTGGTTAGTACTCTCTTCGAATTAGCTTCTGTTTGGTTTTCGAGAAACTGCGAGAAATAACATCGATTGATTTTAGTTTCTCTCTTTCAATGCTCTGTAGTTGCAGATTTTCATGTTTCTAATCGAACAATTTTGAAATGAAAGATAAAATTTTGATGCTGACACTACTTTTTCATTCTCACTGTAGCATCTCCTCTGCAGCATGGATTCTTCACCGTCTCTGCAGATTTTAGGTACTTAAATCTCAGTTTTCGCTTGTGTTGTTAGCTGGTTATAATTTGTTTTATCATTGTTCTTCAACCCTTATCTTTCTTGCAGTTCGAGAACCAGAGGGTTTCTCCATCTGGGATGGGCCTCCATTCAACAACAATCAACCAAGCATCAAGCTTGAAAGAGTTCCCTGCAATAGTGCAAAGTTTAGTGATGATGGGTCGAGGCTTATGGTGATGAAACCGGACTCTGTTATTACCATTTATGAATGTAGCACCTTCAAAGAGATAAGATCATTTCAAATCCCCAATGTTTCTGCTGCTGCCTTGTCTCCCTGTGGGACTTATCTCCAGACCTTTCAGAAATCTACAACACCGCAGGAAAAGAATGTTGTCTTGTGGAAGATAGAGTCTGGTGATTCAGTTTATAGTCATTTTCAGAAAAACATGACAAAAGCTACTTGGTAAGAATAAGTATTAGCGTTGATTTTTCTTTTTGGGAGGAAACTGGAGTCTGAAAGAAAATAACTTTACACACCTATACATGCACTGGTGTGTTTATTCATACATTATGCATGCACTTAATTATGTCCGTGAGGACAAACATAACAATTTATGTTATATTAATGATATTCATGGTTCTTCTCCTCACCCCCCCCTCCTGAAATCAGAGTTCAAGGTTGTTCATGCAGTTTAAATTGTTTATAAACTTGAATGCAGGCCCTCAATCCGGTTCAGCTCTGAGGAAGCTGTTGCCTGTCGACTTGCAACAAATGAAATACAATTTTTTGATGCCGGAGATTTTTCTAAAGGAATTGTTGACAGGCTAAGAATTCCAGGAGTGGCAGGAGTAGAGCTTTCTAATCTTCCTGGTTCCCATGTGGCAGCATTTGTTCCAGAGTCCAAGGTTTGTGATCTCTTTCCTTTGGCCAACTTTAGGGCCTACTCTATAACTGTAAAAGAAAAAGAGAGAAAGGATGGTTGGTGATAAGTGGGTAACATCCTGTATGAATAAAGAACTTCTGGTTCATTCTTCCTGCAAACTCTGTTAAGCTAGCTTCCATTTCAAACTTTAGCTTTAGTATCCGTTTCAATGGCAGTAGGATTGGAATATGTATAAGTTGATTGAAACTTCAAAATCATGATTGATTCGAAGTAGCCTAGTTGGTCTTTCAAAACTTAGTTGAAGTTTAGGTTTTTTAATTCTAATTGATTTCTTTTGAGTATCATTTCTACTGATATTAGGAGCTTGACTACAGTTTGGTTGCTCCCAACAGGTTTCTTCTATATATGTTTGTAAAATTGGAAAAAAATATCAGTAAATCAGTAAAATGAATGGAGGTAGTCACCAGCTGTAGCAAGGACATTAGATACTGAAAAGCATGGAGCAACTCAACCTATACAGTGATCATCTTGTTGAAGTCAATTAGTCAATGCAAGCACTGCCTTGAGGCTGATAAATGGCCCATTATAACATCCTGGGCTACTGTTATTATTTGTCTTACCTCATGATACAGACCGTGTAGAAAGACTTAAGTTTGGGTTGCTAGGTTTCTTTTCATGCATGATAAAATATTTTAGTAATTTTTTTTTCTTTGGTTGCAGGGGAGTCCAGCTAGTGTTCAGATATATGCTTGTGGGAAAGAGCTGCAGAGCCAACCTCTTGCTCGACGTAGTTTTTTCCGATGTTCTACTGTGCAACTAAACTGGAATCATGGGTCCACTGGACTTTTAGTTGTGGTGCAATCAGATGTTGATAAAACTAACCAGAGTTATTATGGAGAATCAAAGCTCAACTACCTTACAACAGATGGGGCTTTTGAAGGAGTTGTACCTCTTCGTATGTTCCTTGCTTATTTTGTGGGCTTCTTTACTGTGTATAAGTTACTGATTGTTGCATACATTGGCAGGTAAAGAAGGGCCTATTCATGATGTTCAATGGTCATACTCTGGGAAAGAGTTTGCTGTTGTTTATGGATGTATCCTTTTTTGTACGAGTGACCATCATATGGTATTATGATTTATTTAACACCTTGACTAAAAAATTATAACTGTTATCTTTCTGAGAACTATATGGAATGGTTTGATGAACTGGAGATTCTTTTATAATTCATTGGCAATTTTAATTTGTTTACCTTTTTCCACTGCCGATAATTATTTTTGCAAGTATTGTGTTCCTTGACATTCTTTAGTTATGCCTGCCAGTGTGACAGTGTTTGACAAGAAGTGCAAACCTTTGCTTGAGCTTGGAACTGGCCCCTACAATACCATTCGATGGAATCCAAAGGGGAAATGTATCCTTTAATGAAGATTCTTTTCATTTATTTCACTGCAATTAATCTGCTGAATCTTTTAAACAGCTAATTACAGGCTTTTAACCAATGCCTATTTGTAACCTTAAATGTATTGGATAAAGTTCTCTGTGTGGCTGGTTTTGGTAACTTGCCAGGTGATATGGTACGTATGTGCTTTTTCATTGGTAGATTTGTTGTTTGAGAAATCATTTGTTTGTGTACCTACTTCCTGTGATTTTTGATTCTTTTCTTCCCTCTCAATACAAGTTTGCCAACAAAAGTAATAAACCATGAGGGATTGAAGTTCAGCATTTCCTGTGGGTTTCCTTTTATGGATCCACTTTCACCTTTTTTTCATGTTCTCTGTCAGTTTGCATGTAATTTTGGAAGACATGTTCCTTCTCTTGATTTCCTGTGTTTCTAGCTCAAACTATTTGTCTGATTATGATTTGGGCAAAAATTATTGATATTCTCCGATCCTCTTTGGATGGCATTCTTTTGCTATGTTTTTTGCCATATGGTTAGTTGCCTTTGTGCATTTTGGCCTGTTACTTACTTTTTGTAGTCCTCTGAGAGGTAGGAAGAAAGGTTGCAGTTTGTTAGGTTGGGGAAGCAGGGGTGGTGAGAGGATGCTTCTTCATTCAGTACCTGGGCTGGAAGTCTGAGTAATCAAACTTTTGTGGTCCCCCCCTTAATTTATTGAAACTAATCATTGATTTATTATTGCACTTCAGGCATTTTGGGACTTTGTAGAGAAAAAGCAACTTGGAACAACTAGGGCTGAGTGTTCTGTAACAAGTGAGTGGTCTTCTGATGGATGCTATTTCATGACTGCCACAACAGCTCCAAGACTGCAGGTTGATAATGGGTATGTTGAAATATTCTTATATTTTGTGATCTAATGGGGCTTGGTTTTCAGTCTGCAGATACCTGTCACTGCTATTTCAAATTGTTATCTGACCATGTGCTTGACCACATTCCACCTGCATATCTTGATGACAAAATTATTTGCTGATAGCCTATCATGATTTTCTATTTTTTTGCCCTTGAAGGATTAAATTCTTCCACTGCAATGGGACGTTATTCTTTAAGAAGATGTTTGACAAGTTGTTCCAGGTCAGTATTGTTGTTGATTGGATGAAGTGATTTGCTGTCTGTTTTTTCTTAATTTTGCTCCTTGACAATAATTTTTCACATAGGCTGAATGGAAACCAGAGTCCCCAGATAAGTTTGGTGAAATAACAGAGCTTATTAAGTCTGTTGATTCATTGAAGATTGAAGAAACCAAACCACAAGGTTCATCCTTCCCCTCAGTATGTCATTTTTTTTAGTACTTGTTGATGTTGGATTCTTCAAACACCTGTTATTTTCCAGGACAAAGTTCAACCTCCAAAAAATCAGCCACTGCTAATCCTCCTGCACAGAAACCAGCTGCCTATCGTCCACCACATGCTAAACAAGCTGCTGCTGTACAAGCAGAGGTAAACTCTAACAACTATGTGGCATCTTGCGATAAAATTGTTTGAGCCAAATGCAACTTGTAGCGTGTAGGAAACAACTGGTGTAAAGGAATAAAAGGATAAAAGAATGCCATAGGTCAATGTGGTAACCTGGTAATTATCAAATAGATCTCCAATTCAATTGGAATTTATGTGAAAATGTGTTTTACAAATAAGGAAAGATACAATGTCTTTTCTGATGTTTGCTATGGACACCTTTTATTGGGTTGTGAAGCTCTGAACACATTCAAGCTTAATTATATTCACTGTGAACTTTAATGGGGTTTAATGGTATTTATTATTTTAATCTTATGTGATTCTGACAAATTTTATGATTCTGCAATGACAGTTGTTTGGAGGGAGTGCTTCAGGGTAAGTAACATGCTACTACTACATGTTTGCTTCTTTTCTACACATTTGAGATTTCATGATCTCAAGTTTTTATCAATATTTTGTATATATTCAGGGAAATGAGCAAGAATGCACTGCGAAACAAGAAGAAGCGGGAGAAGCAAAGAGAGAAGAAGGCTGCTGAGGCTGCTGGTGCCGGTGCTGCTACATGACTGAATTTCATCCTTTGTCAATCAAGCCATTTACGCCTGTACTCCTGATGCCTCACCCCAGGCAACCTCATCTGTCCTTCTTGGTCTTAATGTGTAGAGAGAAGGGGATGGAACAAGAATTTTGAGCTTATTAGGGTATTGCAAAGTTTTAAACATCCATACCCCTTTTTGCGTGTAAGAGCTGGCAATTTTTTTCCTATCGTTAGCCTTGAGGCATCCTGTGAGATAAATCCTGAATGCAACTTATTCTTAAAAACATGAACACAAGATTTGAAAACAGTTTCACCAAATTATTCTTAGAATTCTGTTGTGCACCTCCTTGGATTTTCCTAATCATGAAAAGGTTGAAGTAGTATGATTGATTTAGCATTTTGGCAAACAAGGTCATGAATTTTGAGTACATGTACTTGAAAACCAGATTGCATCAAGAGCAGTTTCACCGACCACAAATGGGTGAATGTAATGTTCTTAACACGTCTAAACAGAACAACAAGGAAACAAGCTGAGATTCTCTTCAAGGTATCACTGCGTCTCAAAATTTCACATCAGTTGCCCATGTTCCTTGCACGACAGGGTGCTTGGTGACATGTCTCGTCTTCAGTTTCACAACTTTTCTTCCCAATGAACTTCTTAGCCTGTTGGCATAAAGTAGTATTTCTTCTGGAGTCAAATTCTTAACACAGATCACCTTCTCGTTTTTGTTCTCTATGCAAGGCAAAGGAGATGCTTAATATAAGTAAAGAGGTTTCACAAAAATACACATATGAGCAACCACCCAAGACTAACATGCACCTATAAACCTACTTATTCTCCCACCAAAAGGAGAAAGATGAAAACTTACTATAAAAGCCCTTTAAATGTGGAAGCTATCCACGAACGAGTTCAGTGATGACCTCTGGCTGCGGATTTGTCTCTTTAAATGCTGCCAAATGTGACTCCATAAATGCCCCGCCATGATAACACCAAAAAGGAACTTAAATAAATTATTATGCATTTGAGACTATCAAACATACCTGTTATGAAGCCAGCAATGAGAGAAACCAACAAGTAATACTTTGTCATTTATGAAGAGAAAAACTGGGAATTGTGTATGTTACTTTAAGACTCCACGTTAAAAAAATGTACTTCAGATTGCGTGGGTGGATATGTAAGTTTTCCTTAAGAGAAAGAAATGGTTTTCTTGTTACATAACTAAACTCCATCAACTGATCTTCCAATTCCATGCCACAAGATTTCCAAGAAAAGGACAAATGGCCCTTATACTTTGCAAAATTATCTGTATTACCCTCTCACAGAACATATTCTTGGTTGAAGCAATTAACTGGTCCATACCTAAATTGAAAATTATCTCACTCCAAAGTATCAACACACTAGAACAGCAAAGCTAGCATTTTTCCCCCTATTATGCTATTCATATCTATTGCCCCCAGTTCCAATCTAAACTGTCAGTTTACATCAATATAAACATTGGACTATTCCAACCGTGCCCATACACTGAATTACAGGAAATTCCATAAATCACACAAAGTACACCCTATACAGATATCTGCCTTTCAATCCATTCCACTGCAAAAACATGGTGTGTTTGATTATTGAAGGTTTGATCATATATCCATAACAAAAAGAAGAATAACACACCAACAGCAAAGAAATTTCAACTGAATGAAACGTACCTGATGCCCCTGCTACTCCCTCCCCAATCGGAGTAGCTTACAATCAGCTTTTGAAGCTGCCAAACCCCTCTCAAGGCCATCTGAACTTCAAACCCATCATGATAATCAGAAAACAATGAGAGCAATTTTCTTAACCATTTTTTCGTTAACTTAAAAGAAGGAATACAACTGAACACAAAAATGAACTACACCCCATTTTGAAATGAGACCCCATTTACGGCCACCAAGCTCCAGCATGAAAAAGAAATCAACTTTCAAACCAGAAGAACCGTTTTTACTACTTTAACGCAATAGAGAAGGGAAAAAGAAAAAAAATGAAAGAACAAGCAAATGTGTCAATCTAAACTAAAGACCTCTGAACAATATCTACCAAGAAAAATGAAGCAATACGAAAAATGAAATTTTCTCTGGATGAAACGAAGAGTAGGAAAGCAATGGTTTCGATATTGGAGATGCATACCAATCTTCAATGGAATCTCTAAAGCCAAAGAATCCCACGCAAAATCCAATAGAATACGAGGAAGGAGGTGAAAGAAGTGGCGGATGGGAGTGGCTTTCTTTCGGTTCGGGGAGCGTGCAGTAAAACATGATGTGGTGGTGAAAAAGTTAAAAGTAATATTTAATTTATTAATTATTTAATTAAATTTGTTTATATGATATTAATTTTAAATTAATATTTATTTTCATATTTTTTTATTTAAATTTATTGTAAAAATGTGCCTCTAACCTATGTAGGAAATAGGATAAAAAAATCATTTTTCATACTATAAAGATTAAAAAAGTACAAAAAAAATAGTTTATAGATTTAAAATATTTAAAATTAAAACTTTAGGGGTATATTATTACTATATTTACATTTGACCTTGTTTTTTAATGAAAAAATCGAAAATTAAATAATCGGCGCCGTTTTAGGGACTGGATTTCTTTTGCAAGTTGGATGGGCCCATTTAACAACCCGGCCCAAATTGAGTAGACCGAAAAAAGGGAAGTCGACCGGCATTCTACTTCCATCTATCACTGCCTTTGCCGTCGACGCTGCACGGAGTGGAAGAGAGGGGTGCTGCTTCGTTCGTGATTCCGATTAAAAGCGCATCATGGTAATTCATGATCTTGTTGTAAGCAAATTGAAAAGATTTGATCTTTAGGGTTAGATAAGTTAGGGATTTGATTTGGGTTCGGAATTCCCTCGTGAATCTGGAGTCGTAAACAATGCGATTCGGGTTAAAATTTTGATGTTATCTCATGAATTTTAGGGTTAGACTTTGTCAAAAGTTTGTGTGAATGATGAAGCGTGGAGGCTGGATCACCTGTTCTTGATTTCTTGTGTTATGAATTGATTTGTTCTGAATTTTTGTCGATCAGGTTCTTCTACAGCCAGACCCTTTTCTTAATGAACTAACGAGCATGTTTGAACGCAGTACGGAGAAGGGTTCTGTTTGGGTTACCCTCAAAAGATGTAAGTTTGTTTGCCTTTTGTGCTAATTGGTGATGAAATTTTGATTTGGAGGTGTTGCAATTAGGGTAGTGGTTGATGCTGTTGGTTCTTGTGTCTTTTAGCGTCTTTGAAGTCTAAGGTGCAAAGGAATAAGATGAAGACTGCAGGAGAAACTATAGAGTATAGATGCCTTGTGCGTGCCACTGATGGCAAAAAGACGATATCTACTTCGGTATGGCCTTTTTATTCTGTTTATTTCAATTCAATTTACAAACTCTTCAATATGTTTGATTATATATGCCGTGGATGGATGGATAGATAACTGAGTTATGAGATAAATTTGTTGAATTTGTGGACTCGTTTTTGAGTCTGAGTTATGTTCTGATGTGTTAAGTTTTGCATTTGAGAAACTCAAACTTTGGGGGAAATGGTTAAATCATTAGTAGTGTTAGTGTAATTGTAATTGGTAGAGTTTGCACCTATCAACTGGTAAGGAAAATGCAATTGAATTGACGTACAAAAATATGTTTATGGGAACAAAAATAGAATCTCATTGCTAGTGCAATGGTTATGGGTGTTCTTCTGAAATATATACATAAATATCTGGATCATGGCTAAAGAGAGCAAAACCAGATAGGTCATGCCCTCAATTTGTATTGAGGATTGATGCCCAAGTCATGTTATGTGCTGGCTGATGGGGATTTGGTGGGTTTGGAGGAATTTGGAAGTTCCTGACTCAGTTATAAGCCAAGCTTAAGTGTTTGTTAGTGAGTCTATACACGGCTCCAAGAATGGGAAAAATAAATAAAAACAAATGTGGGATAACTCTTGACTTCTTCTGAGCTAGTAGTTGGGAGAGTATTTTTACTGAGTTGGCCTCAACTATTCTATTTTTTTTGTTCTTGTTGAAGTAAATAAACTTTTATTTAGTCAAGCTGACCTTCTCTTAATGCCTTATTGTTGTAAAGGTCGGGATGAAGGATCACCAGCGCTTCCAAGCTTCTTATGCAACGATCCTGAAGGCACACATGACTGCTTTAAAGAAGAGGGAGAGGAAGGACAAGAAGAAGTCTGCAGTAGATAAGAAAGAAGAGGGTTCAAAGAAGCCCTAGAGTATGAAAAGTTTCTATCAATGATGCCCTACAAACCCAACACCTTCATTTTTATTGACTTTCATCTTCACCTAGGGAACTTAATACAAGAATTCTTTCAGTTTCAAGAAATTACCATGATTTGAATTTTTTGCAAATACAAGATCCTGGATGATCTTGGTGTTAGAGCTGGTTGATATTCAGATGAAAGGAATTGTTGTAATTATGTTCCTGCTAATGTATGCTACTTCTGGCTTTAAATTCCTAATTAGCATGGCATTATCTTTGAGGCTTTCTTCCTGGCCAAAAATTTTCCAGTATTGGTTCTAAGCTTTTAATTTCCATTTTAAGCCCTTAAATATATATCTTAGCTTTTTATTTGTAAAGATTTGTTGGCATGGTTTCACGGAATATATATATATATATATATATTTTTTTTTCTTTTTTCTGTTTTGGATTTTGCATGTTCATGGATGTTTCTATTTATTCGTAGTTTATATAGTTCA